AACGTGGAAGAAATGGGAGATTTATAGAAAATTATATAAAGAAGGAGAATAAATAAGAAATAAGGAGGAATAATGAGATAGGGAAGAGAGAATACTGAGAGAAAAAGGAACCAGAGCAGGTGGGAGAGGGAGGGAGTGGAGGGAGGGATAAGTTTAAAGGTATAAATGATAAGGTTTGTGTTGTTTTTATTTCTGTGTTCTAAGAAATTATATGTAGTAGAAATGTGATAATTATTTTCGTATGGATTGTGATAATGTAATTTAATGAAAAATTAATAAAATATTTAAAAAAAAAAAAAAAAGGAGACGTCCATTTAGCACCAAATGTCCAATTTGTCTTGATCTTCCCTCCACTAATGAACCAGAAAGAAATGTGTATCTCATCACTTCATGGTTTAGAGCTGTTATTCACCAGCAGCACTGGCCAGGGAAGCAACTATTTGAGTACAACCTGTACACAGTGTCTAATACACTCCTGGTGTCTCTTTAATAAGAACTTGTTTTTGTAGATATGCAATTGGTCCCCTATATGATAGCAATAATGTTAGGTAAAAAAAGATTTAAAAATTTATAGTGAAAAGGAAAAAAAAAGCTAATTTTGTTAGCTATTGTGCTACCCACATTCCATATTTCTATGTATCCAGTAATTTGGTGGCCATTATCCATTGTTAACTCTAAATTGATGACTTGTAAGTGCTTTTAAAGTATTGTCGATGGATGATTTTGTGTTTCATGCAATTCCATGAGCATATGCAATTTTAAGGCTTGACATGTTGGGTATCTATTTACTTGACCCAACCTCAATATTTTATACTGTATGTTGCCAAAAATTTGATAATATATTGTGTTTCAATGTAATACATGTTTACTCAAAATATATGTTTAATAAACTGTTGTGCTGATATTGCGTGACATAATAAATTGCAGCTATGACCATTTTGTTCTCCATTGTCCCTGATTTAAGAAAATATATAATGTTTGGGGTTTTAAAATTAATTTTCAGGTCTCAAATGTGCATTCAGCACAAGTGCAAAAATGTTTCTGGCAGCAAAAGGGTCACTTCTAGAAATCCACCCTACTGTATCATTTATTTTTAGAAAAAATACCCCAAATGTTGTAGGTAGGACTTTCCCACTGGGCATGAGCTTTTGATTTCGACTAATCTAGAATTCAGTCCAAATGTTGCCTATTTAGTGAATGGGCATCTCAATGTTTGGACAAACTAAATGTTTGCTCACACAAGTAGTCGAAGCTCCGGCTGCAGCCGGGGGCATAAACATTTAATAGTAGTATTACTACCATTGCTGAATCTGATAGCTTCCTGCTCAGGCAGGTTGTTAGGGATTTTTCAGCCACCAGCTTCCTAGTGACCAGTGATGCATCCCTGCTTGGCCCATTCAGTTATCAGCCAGGGATATTTGGCTTAAAGGTGAACACACAGGAATGGTAGCTGACATTGCTGACCATGCTGACCATATATATAGCTTTATTTTTTCTGTCTTTTTTTTTTTTGCATGGGGTCTCACTGTTTAAAGATAAGGGTATGACGGACATTTAGGAGGAACCACATGCATTTTGTTACAACACCAAAAGCAACATTTTAATAGGAAAAAGATAGCTGGTCATTTACATTTTCTGCTACCTTGCTTTTTTTATTTTTGTAAAAAGCATCATGGGGCTTCCCCCAATGTCCCTTACGGATCTAGTATGTATTGTGGCAGTCCCCATGCTGTTATGTACAAAAAAACCAAGCTAACAGTGAACTGTCATTTACCAGCAATATAAATACTGTTTTGTTTCTTGTAAATGTCACTTTTGTTGCAGTACATTGAATATATCATTAATTTACACCACTTCAAAGGACGTTTTAGGGCATCCCCCATCATGTTATTTAAAGGAATTTAAGATTTTAATGTTTCACTTTAAGCATTATTGCAATTGCTGCTCTCTACCAAATAGTATTTTTATTTATTATTATTTTTTTTTTGCACTGGTACATGTCCCCCAGGGTACTGTCCAGTCCACATGCAATTTGGTTAGCAATCTTTTCTCTATTAGCCTTGAAAATACCCAGAACCCATTTCAAAGATTTGGTTCTCATTGACTCAATTGGGTTCAAACTAACATTTAGAACAGTTCTACAAACCTCCCGCAAACCCAACCCAAGTAAAGCTTTTTCCTAGTTCAACATATTCATTTTTTGGTGCACAAGCTCCATTTTTTTATGGGACCCCCAACAGCCATTTGTTTAATTTACTAATGGTTATCGCATGTGATATATTTTTATATTTCGAGTCAGCTCATATTTTTTTTTTTGTTAACTGGATGGACTAGTGTCTTTTTTCAACCACATTAACTGTGTATGCAACTATGTATGTAAAGTAAAATCTAGAATCTGAGGTAAATACAGAAAATTTGGTAAATATGTGAGGTAAACACCTAAAAAATTTAAATAAATCATTAAAGTTAATACATTTAAAAAAACACATTTGTTATTTTTCTCATGGTATGCAGTAGGTAGTCCACTTAGGAATGTCAAAGATAACAATGAGTGGAACTCTGCACTGGCCAGAAAGGTAAAAGAAAACAACATATCACTCTGATTATAACAAAATTGGTGCTGCACTCCCACACTTGTACTTATATTAATAGTTAAATCAAAATGAGGTTTCAATTACACCCCTAGTGAATCCTCCTGTGTATAATGATCACAAACTCAATTCTTCATATTATTATACAATCCTATACAGTGATGTTTGATAAACCATATGAAATAAAATATAAATGTGCAAAACACATAAAAGCACAATACATAAACCCACTTGTGTCCCTAAACAAGGTGCAATCACAAACATGTACTAAACCACACGTGATAAAAATGAATTCCCAAAGGTGCAGTGGAAATAAACTGACAAATGGCACTATTGTGCCTATAGAAACAAACAATAGGACGGTCAGGATAAATTAACCCTGACTATAAGACAATCTACAAGGACTATAATGAATCCTAAAACATAAATGTGCGACCACCACTAAACAAGTGCCCACATGTACCAAAGTGCAAATTACCGTGCTCTAGTCTCCAAACTTAGAACTATAGTGCTATATAAATAGCAAAAAAAAAATCAAAAAAAATAATAAAAATAAAAAATTAAATCACATATTGAGTGAATCCACAAATGAAAATCCAGTAAACACGTAACTTAAATCAATTTATAAAAAAGTCCACAAAAACACGTGCCACCAATTATTAATAAACAAAAAAAACAAATTGTCCACGTGTGTAATCTTCAATGTGGCTGAATATATAGAACCTCCAGCGATAAATATAAATCTGGCAGGTGAACAAAAAGTGTAATCCTTCACTGGTAAGATTGCCCCCTCACCTTCATGAAGCGACCCCACAGGGTCAAAACGCTTTTTTGCTATTAAGCACAGCCAACCGCTCAATCCATTGAAAACTAATGAAGTCACTAATGAAGTCACTGATGAAGTCACGTGATTAGTGATGCAACTAGTCGGACGAGAGACGGAGACATGGTGACATCACTTCCTGTGGAAGCACCATCTTGATACACCCATAGGAGTACACCCAGGTGTTCCTATGAGGATGTGTGAGCATTGTTTCTCATAACACATGTGAGTGAGCATTTATAGTATTTTTTACACCAATAAATGAAACAATATCACGCGATGGAAGGATTCTTCTTCTTGTTTTATAAACACCGATGAGGAAGCTGAGGTACAATTAGATCATATGAAAACCATCCGGATACCAGGAGAGTTGATACCTGTAAGTTCTGAAGGGGGATACCACCACTGTTTGTGATACCAAATCTGACGTGGAGGATTGAGCGGTTGGCTGTGCTTAATAGCAAAAAGCATTTTGGGGTTATTTCATGAAGGTGGGGAGGCAATCTTACCAGTGAAGGATTACACTTTTTGCTCACCTGCCAGATTTATATTTATCGCTGGAGGTTCTATATATCCAGCCATATTGAAGATTATACACGCGGGCGATTTGTGTTTTGCTTATTAATAATTGGTGGCATGTGTTTTGGTAGACTTTTTTATAAATTGATTTAAGTTATGTGTTTATCATAGAGTGTCACTGGATTTTCATTTGTGGATTCACTCAATATTTGATTTAATTTTTTTTTGCTATTTATATAGCAGTATAGTCCTAAGTTTGGGGGACTAGAGCACGGTAATTTACACTTTGGTACATTGTGGGCACTTGTTTAGTGGTGGTCACACATTTATGTTTTAGGATTCATTATAGTCCTTGTAGATTGTCTTATAGTCAGGGTTAATTTATCCTGACTGTCCTATTGTTTGTTTCTATAGGGCACAATAGTGCCACTTGTCAGTTTATTTCCACTGCACCTTTGGGAATTAATTTTTATCACGTGTGGTTTTAGTACATGTTTGTGATTGCACCCTGTTTAGGGACACAAGTGGGTTTATGTATTGTGTTTTTATGTGTTTTGCACATTTATATTTTATTTCATATGGTTTATCAAATATCACTGTGTAAGATTGTATGATAATATGAAGAACTGAGTTTGTGATAATTATACACAGGAGGATTCACTAGGGGTGTAATTGATACTACATTTTGATTTAATTATTTATATAAGTACAGGTGTGGGAGCTCAGCACCAATTTTGTTATAATTTTGATCCCATTCTATCGAGGTGTATAGCCTGGTGTCGGCAGCAACCCATTCCTAGAACAACAGGTTATTCAGGGTAGCTCAGGTGGTTCTCCATTGTTTTTTTAACATATCATTGTGGACATGCTATGCCCTTAACTAAGTTGTTATTTACAGAACAATCCCCCTCTGGTGCAGCGTTATCATTAGAGATGAGCGAATTATTCAAAAATTCGATTCGGCTAATTCGCCGAATTCGCGGAATAAATTTCGATTTGAGGCGAATATATTCGCTGCGAATTTAACTTATAAAAAGGGTGTTTCTAGGCTTCAGAGAGCTTTATATTATTAGTGCAGAACACTGTACCTTTAATTTAAATGCCCTTGGAGTCTGCTGGGGAAGAGAACTAATACTGTCAGTCAGTATGACATTGCAGATGAGTGCCGTCGATCTTAGAATCACCGCACACTTCACTCATTTGGGCAGTCACGGGGCCAAAACCAGAGTGTGGAGCCACAGTGTGGTGGTGGAGGCAGCAGCAATGGGGAGGCCATACAGCACCCTATGACAAAAATGGAACCCACCAGCAGTGTGAGGAGACCTGAAAGTGGCACATGGCAGAGTGTGGCGATGGAGACAGCAGCAATGGGAGGCCGTACAGGGACCCATGACACACTCTGGACCTGGCAGCAGCATGGGAGAGGCGGGTACAGGGCCCATGACAGATTACGGGCCTGGCAGCAGCAGTGGGCGGGGGGGTGGATGCAGCAGTATTCGGAAGCCAAACACAGGGAGGCTCGGTTTGACAAAAGAGCGAAGCACGTTCAGGCAGCGTGAGCAGGCGACAGAGGGCACATGGGCAGGGTGGCGGTGGATCGTCAGCAGTATTCGGAAGCCATAGCACAGGCAGCCTAGGTTAAAAAGCGGAAGCCGTCAGCAGCGGAGGGATGACAACAGAGACACATGGCGCAGGGGTGGCGGTGGGATGCAGAGTATTTCGCGATGAGCAGTATTGGCCGATTTACTGCGGGATTAATGCAGCAGCAACATGGATGTAGGAAGAGTATAGGGGAGATGCCCAGCACACTAGGTGAGCAGACAACTGTAGGTGGTAGACAACCCGGATTCCCAAGAAAGATAGGCGTGAATATGGAAAGGAATGGGGAGGAGCAGGGCATGATGGAGGAATGTACGAGCAGAAGATGGGTTTTTGAGGTCAGTACAGGGAGGCCCATGGCAGGATTATTAGGGCACCTGGGTGATGCAGCAGCGATGGAGGTGTTTGCACACAGGTTGCCCAGGCGGCAAAAACAGATGGCACATGGCGCAGTGTGAGGAGACCTGGACAAGTGGCAAACAGTAGAAGCGGCCATGCATACACAGGCCTATTACCAAAGCCTGTAACAGGAAGAAGTGAGAGCGGTGAGGTAGAATGGAGACAATGAGGCAGGCCGTGGAGGGGTGGCCTTGGCGGCATATATGCTGCCTGGCAGGAGCCGGGGATTCAGGCCTAGGACCCAAAAGCGGAACCGCAGCACCGATATGACTTAATGTATAAAAGCATGAGAACAACCTTGACAGCAGCAGCGTGGTGAGCAGACGACCTGAAGTTGTGCACATGGCGCAGGTGTGGCGAATGGAGGCAGCGTAGTCAGGCGAGCCATACACAGGCCTATGTTAAAAAGCGGGAAGCCATCAGCAGCGTGAGCATTACGACAGAGACACATTGCGCAGGGTAGTAGGGGCCCATGCAGCAGATTATTCGGAAGCAAAACACAGGCCTCGGTAAAACGCGGAAGCCTGTTCTCAGCGTGAGCAACGACAGGCACATGGCCCCAGGGTGGCGGTGAGGCAGGCCAGCAATTCGGAAGGCCATACAAGCACCTTGGTTAAATGAAAGCGGAGGAAACCCGTTCAATCAGTGTAAGGAGACACTGAATAGAAAACATGGCGCAGGGTGGCCGGTGGAGGCAGCAGTATTCTTCGAAGCCATACACAGGCCCTAGGTTAAAAAAAACCGGAAGCCTCAGCAGCGTGAGGCAGACGACAGAGGCACATGGTGCGCAGGGGTGGCGGTGGATGCAGAGTATTCGAAGCCAAACACAGGCCTCGGTTAAAAAGCGGAAGCCGTCACAGCGTCAGCGACAGAGACACAAGGTGCAGGGTTGCGTGAGCAGCAACGACAGAGGCACATGGCGCAGGGTGGCGGTGGAGGCAGCAGCAATGGAAGGCCCGATACAAAGCACCCTATCACAAAAAATGGAACCCACCAACAGTGTAAGGAGACACCTGAAAGTGGCACATGGCAGAGTCTGGCGATGAATGTTTTAGGGCAGCAGCAATGGAGGCCGTATAGGGACCCATGACACACACTGGACCTGGCAGCAAGCAAGAGGAGGCGGTACAGGGGCCCATGGCAGAGTGGCGAAGCGTAAGCAATTAAGTCATAAATTTAAAAGGCCATACATAGGACCTATGTTAAAAATAATAACATGTTATACTTGGGGCATGATTCATGGCGGATTTAGTCAGTTGTGTCAGGAACTGGTGGTTTGAAATCCAGACTAATCCACGCCTGATTCATTTTCACAAACGTGAGTCCTCTCCACAATTGGGTGGACAGCGTGTCCTCCGCGGAGTTACAATACCTCCTGCCGCACTAAACACGCGCTCCGATGCCACGCTACTGCCGGGCATGACAGCCTTTCAAGGGCAAATTCAGCTAGTTGGGGCCAAAGGTCAAGTTTCGTTGCCCAGTAGTCAAGGGGATTGTCTACCTCGGTTGGCAGGGTGCTGTCCAAGTAGGCCCGAGCCTGTTGTTTGAGGTCCTGCTCCAGGTCCACCTGATGCTGCTGCTGCTGCTGCGGCTGGTTAGTAGTTTCCTCACTGCGCTGGTGAAGAAAGCTACTCATCATCGACTGCAGACTGAGGCAGCCGCTGCTGGTGGAGCTGCCACTGCTCCTACCACCCCACCCCTCCCCTGCTGCCATGGCAGCGGAACGCGAGCGCACAGGGCCCACAGTGTCTGAGGATGGACGTTGGCGCAGAAAGGCAGAGACCAACTGACTACATAGGTGGTTTTTATAGTACTTTATTTTGGCCCTCCCTCTCAGCAGGTGTGAAAAAGGCCACCATTTTTTGAACGGTAGCGAGGGTCCAACAAGGTGGACAGCCAAAAGTCATCCCTCTGTCTGATGGTTATTATTCGGCTGTCGCTACGCAAGCAACCGAGCATGCTATGGGCCATTTGTGCCCAAGGAATGCTCGAGGGACTCCCTGCCTCCATCTCCACAGCATACTGCCACGGTGCGTCTGGGTCCTCTGTCTCCTCCTCCTCCTCCTCTACCAGATGCTCCTGCTCCTCCACTCCTGTCCGCTGAGTGGAAAAACCACCCATTTCACTCAATAATTCCTGAGCACCAATGTCCTCCTCTACCTCCTCCTCCTCTTCTTCCTGTCCTGCCCCCACAGGGGTCATGTGGCGTTGAGATCTGTGCGCCACGTCTACCGCACCCTGACCAGCCATTGTTAACAGCATTTGTTCCAGGACGTGCAACGTGCAACAGAGGAATGACGTCGTTCATCCCATAGTCCTGCCGACTCACGAATAGCGTGGCCTCCTCAAAGGGCCTGAGCAAGCGGCAGGTGTCACGCATGAGCTGCCAATGGCTGACATCTAAGTTACACAGGGGAGTACCTTTATCCGCTTGTAACATCAGGAAATCGGTGATGGCCTTTCGCTGTTCGTAAAGGCGGTCTAACATATGTAGGGTTGAATTCCACCTTGTTGCAACGTCGCAGATCAGGCGATGCTGTGGAATTCCGTTCTGCCGCTGCAGCTCAAGGAGGGTGTGCTTTGCGGTGTAGGAATGGCTGAAATGCATGCAAAGTTTACGTGACATTTTAAGGATGTCTTGCAGTGGGATGGTGGATTTTTAGGAACCGCTTGACAACCAGATTGAACACGTGAGCCATGCATGGCGCATGGCACAACCTTCCTTGACGCAGAGCAGACACCATGTTCTTTCCGTTGTCGGTCAACATGGTTCCGATTTTCAGTTTGCGCGGAGACAGCCATCTGTCGATTTCTCTGTTCATTACACTCAGAAGTTCCTCCCCTGTGTGACTACGTTCGCCAAGGCATACCAGGTGCAGCACAGCGTGACACCGTTGCGCCCTGCACATGAATATGCCGGTCGGGTAATGGGACTTGGCACGGGGGGTGGCGGCTGAGGACACACGCGGAAGAAGAGGTGGTAGAGGCGGACATCTTTGCTGGACCAAGGACGTGCAAACGTGGGAGGCAAAAGCGGCGTGACCTGTCCAAGTTGCTGGTGCGGCTGTGCCGGCACCACGTTCACCCAGTGGGGGCCGTAAATGACATGTACTGTCCCTGACCGTAGTTACAGCTCCACACGTCGGCGCTGCCGTGCACTTTGGCAGAGACCGACATGCTCAAAGACTGGCCCACCATCTCTTCTACATGTGAATGCAGGGCTGGCACTGCCTTTTTGGCGAAGAAATGCCGGCTTGGCACTCTCCACCACGGCGCGGCACAAGCCATCATTTCTCGGAAAGGTGCTGAGTCCACCACTTGGAAAGGGAGGACTGCAGCACCAGCAACTTGGACAGGAGGACGTTCAGCTTCTGCACCGTCGGGTGCGTGCTCGCAAACTGTTGTCTCTCTTGGAAACGGATTCCAAGAAAGACTGCTGACGGAATCCGTGAAGAGGAGTAGCAGGAGAAGGAGCATCTGAACGAGCGGAAGATGCCAACGAGCGACAACTCCCCTCAGCAGAGGTGTTGGAGCCTTGACTGGCTGATAGAGGGCGATTGACGTCGGGTGACGGAGCAGCAAGTAACGGAGCGGGTGATGGAGCGGGGGCTGGGGCAGGCAGAACCGCCGTATCTTTATCACGGTTTTCCCAGGCCACCGAATGGCGACGCTGCATATGCTGACGCAACGCTGTAGTCCCAACATGGGCCCCCTGGCCACGCTTGACTTTCTGGCCACATAGTCGACATACGGCTACGTTTACTTCCTCGGGCGGCTTGACGAAAAATTTGCCACACCCGCCGAGTAGGAAACTTTGCCCCCGCTACTCCTCACTGGCTGACTGCTACTTCCTCCGTGCACACCGGCACCACTACTGGCCGTGGTGGTAGGCTGCAGTGGAGCTGGTGCTCTACTCCGTGGCCGTTTGCCTCCACTGACACTGCTGCGACCCTGCTGCCTCCTGGGCAACCCACCGACTGTTTTGCTCGCTGGCAAGCTGGCACCCTCTTCTCCTGATGATGCGGAAGCAATAGCCTGATGACGACGAGGCTGCCAAGTGCGATCAGCCTCATCATCATCAATTAGGGTCTCCGCGTCACTACTAGCCCCCTCGGCTGCGTGTGGGTCAGGAGACAGACCTGTCTCTAGACCGGCTACCGAGCCACTCTCCCGCCAGTACTTCTTCGCGCCTGGCTGCTGAAGAGGCGGATGTCTCCCCCCGTTCCTGACCGCCCTCTGTTAGCTCTTCCTCACTGTACAGTGGGGCTGAGCCCACAGCATGCGATACTTCGCTTGGTGAGGGAACACCAAAGGACAGGGGCAGGTAGAGGACACGTGATTTCAGTGGGCTTGCTCCCGGGCCATGCCAACTAACGGTTGTGTCTGACGTACCCACCGACCGTTGGCTGTAGGTGTGTCAGAGGTGACCTGGGAAGAGGAAGACGACCGAGTCAACCAATCGATGACGGCAGGGTTGTCGGTGGAGACACGACCGCTGGATGACACCGGGAGCACTGGCCTCTGGCTGCGACTAGTGCTGCCTCGACCCCTTCCTCTGCTGCCACGTCTGCTCGCTCCTGAAACATTGCCTCCTCTGCCACTCCTCTGCGTGTTGTCTGACATACTCTTTAATTCAATAGTGGTTGTGAAGCAGAAAGTAACGATTCTGTGTCCCTGAGTAACAATTCTGTGTCCCCGAGTAACGATTCTGTGTCCCTGAACAATTCTGTAAACGATTGTGTCCTGTGTCCCTGAGTAACGATTCTGTGTCCCTGAGTAACGATTCTGTGTCCCTGAGTAACGATTCTGTGTCCCCCGAGTAACGATTCTGTGTCCCCGAGTAACGATTCTGTGTCCCTGAGTAACAATTCTGTGTCCCTGAGTAACGATTCTGTGTCCCTGAGTAACAATTCTGTGTCCCTGAGTAACGATTCTGTGTCCCTGAGTAACAATTCTGTGTCCCTGAGTAACGATTCTGTGTCTGTCCCTGAGTAACAATTCTGTGTCCCTGAGTAACGATTCTGTGTCCCTGAGTAACGATTCTGTGTCCCTGAGTAACGATTCTGTGTCCCTGAGTAACGATTCTGTGTCCCTGAGTAACGATTCTGTGTCCCTGAGTAACGATTCTGTGTCCCTGAGTAACGATTCTGTGTCCCTCAGTAACGATTCTGTGTCCCTGAGTAACGATTCTGTGTCCCTGAGTAACGATTCTGTGTCCCTGAGTAACGATTCTGTGTCCCTCAGTAACGATTCTGTGTCCCTCAGTAACGATTCTGTGTCCCTGAGTAACAATTCTGTGTCCCTCAGTAACAATTCTGTGTCCCTGAGTAACAATTCTGTGTCCCTGAGTAACGATTCTGTGTCCCTGAGTAACAATTCTGTGTCCCTGAGTAACGATTCTGTGTCCCTGAGTAACAATTCTGTGTCCCTGAGTAACAATTCTGTGTCTGTCCCTGAGTAACGATTCTGTGTCCCCTGAGTAACAATTCTGTGTCCCTGAGTAACGATTCTGTGTCCCTCAGTAACGATTCTGTCCCTGAGTAACAATTCTGTGTCCCTGAGTAACAATTCTGTGTCCCTCAGTAACGATTCTGTGTCCCTCAGTAACAATTCTGTGTCCCTGAGTAACAATTCTGTGTCCCTGAGTAACGATTCTGTGTCCCTCAGTAACAATTCTGTGTCCCTGAGTAACAATTCTGTGTCCCTGAGTAACAATTCTGTGTCCCTGAGTAACGATTCTGTGTCCCTGAGTAACAATTCTGTGTCTCTGAGTAACAATTCTGTGTCTGTCCCTGAGTAACGATTCTGTGTCCCTGAGTAACGATTCTGTGTCCCTGAGTAACAATTCTGTGTCCCTGAGTAACAATTCTGTGTCCCTGAGTAACAATTCTGTGTCCCTGAGTAACGATTCTGTGTCCCTGAGTAACGATTCTGTGGCCCTAAAGTCTCTGTGGCCCTAACTCTGTCCCTAATACAGACAGGTCTGTCTCTCTTGAATGACCGGAGGCTAATGGAGAATTCTAAGATGGCCGCGATTTATAGCTCCACCATTACACAGTGCTGGCTGGCTGGCTGCTGATTGGCTAATGCGATCACATGTCATGAATGAATGCATTATGGGTCTGCACGCCTTCCCAGA